GTTTTTTTTATTAATTTTGTACTTAAAATATTCTAAAAGAAACATAACAATATTGTTTTATGTACTTTCACTTTTCACGTATAGTATAACTACTCTTTAAGATTAAGTACTGTGTATCTCAAAAACCAGAGCTAATAAAAATTTTTCATTGTTATTTTCGTTTTTATCACCCCAAAATTAGTAGAAATTGACTAATTTAGTGTAGGAAACATTCAAAAAATATTTTTTTTGTTGTGTTGTGTAATCAGGACCAGGCAAAAACAGCCTTCGTCGACGTTATCGAATCCCGAGCATTCAATGTTTATGCTGACACAATGAATCAACAAAAGTGCGCTGATTGAAATGGCGTTTATTTCGAATAAATTTTATAAGCATTCACTGACATATTACAGTTCAAAGTATACTTATAGAACAGACAAATTTTTTGCAACAACATAATATATTCGATGCAGAGGAGCTTTAGTACGATTTAAGCTTTATTGTCTGAAATTTAACATTTTGTCGACAAAGTTCAAAGGTCCAATTGACACAGTTCATTTGTATGATTACTATAAAGGGTTTTACAAAAGCCGCGACACGTGTTTCGCTATACAGTAGCTTCCTCAAGCGTAAACTGTGTCGCGGTTTTTATAAAATCATTTATAGTGAAAACCATACAATAAACTGTATCAATTAGTTTCAATATGGATTTTAATCAAGTATCGGCCAGTTATATTCAATGATCTAGATGATAATGTTTCTAAATTGTGCAGTAAAGGATCAGTTAGGTGATTCCATTGCATTTCCACATGGAAACAATGGAAAAGATGTAACTGTAACTGGAGTTACTTTTTCGTCTCCAAAATGTCCGTAAAATGTTAGGCTTCATATTCCATTCTGCTGGAGACCTAAGAATTTAATCTATGCAAATAATTTACTGTGCACAAGTTAGATCCATATTCAGTACAACTCCATTATATAGTCGCCTCCCTACAATATCAATGTTGATTCTTCAGAGGGATGTCAAAATGAGTTTTTCAAGATAATGTGCTTATCAGCTATGGTTCAATAGAAAATTGTACAACTATTCACAAATACTGAACATGAACTGCATATGAAAACTTCATTTTATAGAAAACTTGAAGCTGATCTCATATTCGTACACAACAGCAAATCATCACCATTCTAATCTGGAATTGTTTGATTCGCCTTTGATATTTTTCAAACAATCTGTTGAAAATTTACAATGCAACAGCCTGTTTTCAAAGTCATGTTCGTTTTAATGAGTCTAGTTTAAACTGTAGTATATCTGTAAACACTTAATTAATTCAATCAAAATGAGCGTCAACTACTGTTCCCGAGTAGAGTACTGTTCCCGAGCAGAGTACTGTTCCCAAGTAGAGTACTGTTCCCGAGTAGAAAGGACTGTTCCCGAATAGAAAGGACTGTTCCCGAGTAGAGAGGACTGGATCCTCCGGGAGAAGGAAATATTAAGAGCAAATAGTTGTTGGTTCGCAGATGGATCAATAACACCTTCAGGTTCTGGTTCAGGTGTTTTCAGTCGCAAACCCGTGACAAAGATATCAACCTGCCTAGGAACCTATGCGACTGTATATCAGTCAATAAAAATATTCTCGGATAGTCAAACGGTGTTGAAAGCTCTTGACTCCTACCGAGCAACGTCTAAATTGGTAGCAAACTGCCAAACACGACTCTCCTCAATAGGAAGACTCAACAGATTGTATCTGGTCTGAATTCCTAGCCATACTGGCCTGGAAGGCAATAAGACTCCTGACTCCTTGCAAAGGAGGGTGCTGTAAGCAGCTTCATCGGACCAGAACCTGTCTTCGGCATCTTTTTAGGCTTTGCCAAACAAACATTGAACAACTGCATGGTAAGAAAATTTATAGACTTCTGGCAGAATCTTCCAGGATTGGCTCACTCCAAGGCGTTTATTCACTCTTCGAAGCTTGATACCAAACAATTGTTGTGCTACAGTAGAGATGAACTACGATGTCTAACAGGCCTTCTTACAGATCACTGTCATTTGAATCATTATATGCAGAGAGTCGATCTGTCGGAAGACAGTGTGTGTCGCCTCTGTCTGGAAAATGATGAAACAGCAGAGCACTTACTTTGTGCCTGCTCCGCTGGGGACCGAATCAGGTTCTTAGAGTTCGGCAGATCCGTACTCTCACCATCTGACCTAAAAGACCACTCACCATACAAACTAATCGGCTTCGTTAAGAAGCTGGGTTTATTTGACCGAGTGTGAATAGGTGTGAGCCACAATAAACCCTTATGGGATGCGGTGGAAGGTCGAATAGACCCACTCACTTTAGACCTACCTACCAACCTATACCTATGAGGAAAATATTCATAGATATCCTCCATGAAAAACTTTGTTTATGACACTCCAATGATCTAATTAATAATTCACAATTAATTTTGCGGTGAAGGAATAAGGAATGAACTCCATCTTTGATCTTAGCCTTGTAATTATCATTTTTCATGATCCGTATTGATTACATAGTGAATAATGATTCCTTATCATATTTTCGAACAGATCTAGAAAAATCTATTTTTTGAAATATTTTGTAATCTAATCAGCAGATCTTTTAAACAATGGAAGTGAAAACCAACAGGAAACTTGATCAACCACATTAAAACAATTTCAAGAAAAGAAAAACCACTGTTGTCATGTACCGATAACACATGACATTCGTTTAAACAAATGAGTTGTATGTTGGTAGATAATTAAAAACATCCTCACCTCTCCCATCGTTATGAATGTGCAACCAACTAGGCTGCTTCTGCAAGCTAGTCTGAGATCCGAATAATCCATCACTTTTTCCGATCCCCGACACATTGTTCACACTACCGAAAGCGATAAAGTCGAACTCGTTGTTAACTTCTTTCGCACCTAACCTCGAAGCTACTTTTTCCATAATCTGATTCCTCCGAGTCCTCAACAAACTCAAGTTGATGGCACTGCTCGATTTGGCTTTCGCCAAAACCGGTTTATCACCAGCACTATTGGAATTCATCATTTTTTCAGCTGATCCTACGGTTTCTGGTCGTATCCTTTCCAGATTAGAAGTTTGTCTCGTCATTCGGAAATCGAAGTGGGTCAGGGATTTGCGAAGACCGTTCGGAGACAACACAGCCACTTCGTCTTCCGGTATCCTGCCCGTTACGTCTACGCTCTTCTTTGGCTTCAATTTCCTAGACTTCGAGGAGGAATCCACTTCGTCCCCTTTGGTCTTCTCAATAGAACTCTCGTTCTTGCTCTTGTAAATCTTTGATCGCACCCGTTTCAGGTAGGAATCAGAAGCGACGTTTTCCTTCTTAGAACTGGTCTTGGTGTCCACTTTGAGGGAAGTCGCGTTTTTTTTCCCATCCGTCTTGACACTGCTGTTGGTCCTTTGAACGGGTTTGATTTTTTTGTCGCCTTTACCGGAAGATGCGACTTTTTCCCGGTTGATACTGTTTTTCTCGTTAACCTTGAGGCTCTCGGTACTGTTGGACAGCTTCATTGTACTGGCCGGTCTGAACAAATCACTGAAACGTCTCGCTTTCCTCGCTTGGTCTATGATAAAAAACCCACTAACCGCGCGTGTTAGCACTGGCGGCACCTGATCGCCCTCCTCTTCTATTTTTATTTGTGCCTTATCATTCTTATCAATCACAAAACTGTCGCTGTATCTCTTTATTGGATTATTGGTTGTATTTCGCTTGTTATTGTCGCTATTAGGATGCCTGAGCACGACATCTGGCGATTCAAGGTCCTTATCGTTCAAACCAGCGGTGATATCACCGTTAGTTTTAGCTTCTTTAGCGGCGTTTTTAGCCTCCGCGTTGGTGGCGTCTTTTTTGCCGCGGTTGCGGCCACGATTTTTGCCCGGCTTCTGCTGACGCTGTTTCTCTTCGTTTTGTTTTGATTTCGATGCTAAATCTGTCTCCGGACTGTCAACGGTGTCGGTTGCTGGGTTTCTCGACTTGGAGTTTTTCCGTTTCCGGTGAGTTATCTTATTTTTGAATGATGTCATGTTTTTGTTGGGGTTACGCGTATCCGCTTGCTTCGACCACATAATTACAGCCTGGCACTATTTAGTCACATTCCTTCAATAAGCGAGATATTCAATTGCGCGTTGCGTACGTTTTGCCGTTCGACCGATTACTGAATCGCGTTTCGCATTCCTAGGCGTCAAACAATGAAATTATTGATAAACTTGCAATAAATGTAATTGGTGGCGTGATGTACGAACTAATAAACAAATTCGTGCTGTTACAGCAAAGTCTGAAGTAAGCAATTGCCTACCTGACGGAGACTACCGACGGAAATTCGAGCCGATATACCGACAAACCTACTTGGGCATGAATTATACATGACGAATGTGCACATGGACGCGATTTTTATCTTATCTTGCACGGTAAATATTTTAAGTCCACTGGGTGAAAGGTAATTTCACCTAAGTATTGTTTCAAGGTTGTTTTCGGCAGACGACGAATGGTTTTGTGTAAATGTACACGTTTATCTTTGGGAACACCAATTTGTAAAGTCATTGCATAACCCACATAACATACCCGCGAGTTCCCATTTCTTGCTACCATTCCGCCATTTTTATATACTTCGAGTTAGTAAATTTCATTGCATCTCAATCAATGCATTCTTGGAAATTTTCAATTGAACATTATTTATCGAAATGCTTGTCGAAATTGTTAGTACTGGCTTCTCTTTATTCTATTTTCTATCGATGCCGAATAGACAGCAAAAAAACAAAACTCCTTGTTCACCAAAGGCTGTGCAAAAGCGTTTTCCATTGGTTGCAGTATTTCTGTTTAGAATCCACAAATTATATTTAAGCACAGAAACCAAGATTTGCCCACATAGAAAAAAAATCACAGGCTTAAAGTGCGATCAAGTCTATTAGTTGACCTTGATAATTTTAGTTTTTGAAAAAGTAAATGAATATTTCACATCCATTTTTTATTTCACCCCCATATTTTGTTTGGCCTCTTACTGAATCTGTGTCCCAAACTAATGCCAAACACTGTTGTGGAACCTTGAAATGGACAAGTTACGACGTTTTCTAGAGCATCATAGAAAGAACTGGGCTTTGCAGAAGATTTAGCCATCCTAGTCCAGGACAAATATAATAATGTAGTGGATGAACGAATTTAGCAGTCCGTGCTAGGGCTAAGAGCTCAAAATAAGTCCATCTAATCGCCATAGTACCACCAAGAGTATCAAACCAGATTGATCAAGGTCTCTGAACAACTAGGAGAAGAAGATATTTAATAATAATGAAAATTATAATAATAATAATGGTCCTTATTGGGTGAAATTGGATATAACATTCAAAAGGCGAAGTTCAAAACTGCAGTGTAGAACTCGACAGGTTTGTTCTACCACTTAACCGTGTTAGGAATCACACGTTAAAAGGTAAGACNTCTTTTCTTGTTCCTAATAATTGTAAGGCTTGGTCCATAGACTACATCTGCATAGTTCTCAGATGAATGAACGAGACTGTCACATGAAGTAATTCTTGTGTTTTCAGGGAGGAATTTTCGATTTCCGTAAATTAGCTCAAGTTAGAGGTAAACTTTCTGAGATTAGGGTATTCACGTGGGAATCAAATCGGAGATCAGTGTTTATGTCACCCCAAGATGTTTTGCTTCCTTCACAATTTGCAATCCATTAGAGCCTATACTAATATTGAGTTATTGTTTTACAATATCTCTGTGATTTTTTGGACCAAATATTAGTATTTCGATCTAGATGTATTATTCATTAAGCACATATTTCCAGCAAGAGATAAGAATGTGTTAAGATCATGAGTGATCTGCCTATTAGCGTCATCTACGCTGCATAGTTCAAAATAATAATAGATTTAGGTGTCATCGACATAGAGATGTACACTGCAATTCTGAAGGCATTTCACTAAATGACTGGTGTATATCGTAAATAGAAAGGGCCAAGAATTGATCCCCGAGGAACGCCCGTCTTTAAATTCAGGGGTATGGAATGTAATCCATCAAGAACAACTTCCTGGCGTCTATTGTGAAGATAGTTTCGGAAAAAAAGGAACTGAATCATCTGACAAACCAATGTAGTGTAAGATCGATAATAACAGCTCATGATTGAAGGTGTCAAATGCCCTGCTGAAAAATAGAAGAGCCAGGACGGTACATTGATTTCGGTCACTCGCTTTGAAAATATCATCGGCTACCTTCAGTAGAGCTGTAATACAGCTCCACGGCTAAAACCCGGCTGTACTGTTGGTAGTATTTCATTACTAATTAAGTGTGTGCGAAGCTGTTGTTCTATGATTTTTTCTAGTACTTTAGAGCAAGCAGAAAAGATGCTGATGGCCCGCAGATCTTTCAGTTCTACTAGATTATTGTTTTTTAGTATTAGTGTCGAGGCTAACGACCAAGTCTACCGCGCTGACGACCTGTGTTCAATTCTCTAGCCGATAACTTTTTTAATTCCCATGAAATTTCCAGCCGCTGATGGTCACTGGGACCACGTGATGGTGAGCTTGAATAGGTGGCCTGTTTCGTTGAAGTGGGAACAATTTGAATTTCCCGCTATGCGCGCGGTAGCTTCTGATTGGTCGACTGGGTTATGATGAAAAGTGAAGGAGTGGGGGTGGATTGGAGAGGCGCTTTTACTACTGCTGGAATACTGCTTTCCACATAGCCAAAAAAATGAATAAGGCAGAATGAAAGGACAACACAATTATACTGGCCTTCCATGACACTATACCTATGTCTTTGAAGAATTCTCTTGTGGTCGCCGCTATGAGGGTACTAAAAACAAGGACTTTTTGACTCATCGAACAAGTATGGCGGGTTGACTGTCCTTGTTCATCTTTCACTGCCTGAATCACTGTGCGTGCTGTTTTTGGTGAGTGCATTGGCTTGGGATGTGGGGGTTGAGCAAACCGGCCATCGGATGCCTGCTTCCACGTAGCCCCGCTGGATACGGGAATGACAGAATCACTTGTGGTTCTGTTATTCCCTAACTGAATGGCATCCCAACGATGGCTTGATCCCAAGGTGTGTACCCGTGTCGATAGGATGAATGTCACTGATCCCATCAGTTGTCCCTACGGAACCTTCGAGATACCGGGCACCCTCTCGTCGTAGCATCGCCTTGCCACGGCAATGCAGGGATCTGCCGTGATTCACCTTCTTTCTCTAGCTACTCGTGGGACTTTTATGGACAGAGTAAACTCAAAAATTGTTTCTGACACTAAGTCTACAGAGGAGATGGATGTTGAACTTACGACTACAACTGACCTCCCTGTAAATTTAGATCAGGAGCGAGAGCTTCTCAACTCTCTAACTCCTGATCCAATAACTGAACATAGAAAAAGGTTTGATGGGGCAGCCAGGAAACGACTGAGCCGTTTCCCCAAGAGCGGGGTCCTTATGAAACCGCCTTGCACCAAATTCTTGAGCGACGTACGCAGAATTTGTCTCAGGTGGAGGAACAAACCCGTTTGCGCTCAAGTGATGATTTACCAAAACCAGAGGCGAAAAAAACCTGCACGGGTGAATCTGAGGCATGGTCATGTGTAGCTGACGTGCAAAAACCATCATATGGGAAGGTTGTCGCGGTGAACGATGAAACAACAGAGCATATACTTTTTTGCCTGACCCGCTGGGGATCGAATCAGGTGTTTTTAGAGTTCGGCAGAGCCGTACTCTTACCATCTGACCTGAAAACCACTCACTATACAAACTGATCGGCTTCGTTGAGAAGCTGGGTTTGTTTGGTGGCTTCGTTGAGGAGCTGGGTTTATTTGGTCGAGTGTGAATAGGTGTGAGCCACGATAAACCCTTGCGGGTTGCGGTGGTGGTTCGAATTGACCCACTCACTTTGGTCCTAGCCTAACCTATCGAACAAGTGAAGAGTTGCAAACGCGAGATAGCAGATATACGTCTTCAAAGTTGGTCCACCTTATTTTTGGAACATTATATTATGTGGTCCAACATTTCTTTCTCGTGAATACAGGACGATATGAATAGTGAATATTTTCTAGTCAATATAGTTGTTGGTTTCTCTATGGACAACGAAACATCATCTGGAGAATCTTGGATTGTTTACCTTGTTTTTTCAGTTGAGATATAATTTTTGCTATTATTAAAAATCAAAGAGAACATCAAAGATTATTTTTCGTGAGTATAATAATATGTTAAAGATGTATTCAAATAATATACTCTGAGTTAGTATTGATTTTTATATTCACTGTACTTATTTTTAAAAGTTTTATTGGATTTTGACAAATCAAGAATCAAACTAGTCCATGAGCCAATTAAATATTAATTGCTCTATATCTATATGTTCTCAATGTCTGCCTTTCCACTAACACAGTTTGTGCACTCTTACTTTTCAATTAGAAAAAATGCGAACGCATAGTACATTTAAACTAGCGCTCATTGCAGTAGAGGGGGCACGTGTTGAAATCCCAAATCGGAAACGGAAATAAAGCACTTCTTCAATTGAAATTGGTGCCTCAGAGTATCAAAATCGGAGGCGATATTAGGACGTATATGGTTTGGTCGGGCTATAAAATGAATGACTCAAAACTCAGTTGGTAGTGAATATCCTTTAAATAAATTCTATTGTTCGGATGTGGGTCAGCTTTTAAATGATATAGCAGATGATGACATAATCAAGTGAGCACACAATAAGCAAAACGGTTTTTAGATATCGGATTAGATTTCATTCTATTCTCGTTATAAAACAAACAAAATGAAAAGTATGCCTACGCAAAAATTGCATTTGAAATCGAGCAACGATTCCAAATATATGAAAGTTGAAATTAATATCGCGTCAGATAAGTTACTTGAAAAATTTAGAAAATTGATCATTTATGGCAAAGTAAAAACATACTCAACTGTTGCTTGGGAAAACTTTTTCAAGTATTATTTGCAAAATTGAATACTTGACACACATTACATTATTTATTTCTGTATCAGTTACAAATGTTTACGTGGCTGAGAATCATAAAAAGCATAAATTAACGCAGCAACTATTTGAATATACATTAAAATTTATAATGTACTAGTTACTCAAACACCATGATCTACACTTTAGATAACTACTGAATAGAGCGACTAATTTAAAAAAAATACATTTTACAAAATAAATGGTTAAGTTATAGTTACAGCAGTTAC